CCCCAAATATGTAAAACCGTTCTAACTGTGCTAATGACTGGGAAAACATATCCTTTAGACCTTCCCTTATTTATTTTCTCTTTTAAGAAAGATGGTATCAAAAGCTAAATCCTGTTGGGGAGCTTATCATGTCTCTACTAGGCTAGATTTCTGGATAGCTAGTGTGGTAGTGGCAGACTGAAAATAGCCATTGAGGGATGGGTGGTATTAATTTACTAACCGGAGCTCTCACCTAAGATAGATTCTCCTTTCCTCCTCTTTGGTGTATAAATAGGTCTTTATTTGGTTTTCTTCCGGCTTGGTTGGCACACATTAGCATGCTTAGGCTGTGGTGCAGTAATGAAATTCTGAGTGCTTGGGTCCCCCCCCAAGTTACAAGCCGTCTGGGTGTTTGGTATGTGGGAGCTACCTTCCGAGAGCCGGCTCTGGGCTTGATTGGGTACATCTCTCATCCCATGTCTGTGCTGCGGTTTTGACCCTCCTTTGCTGAGGCATCCATGGATGAAAACCAAGGCCCAGGAAGCCCTTCGAAAGGCACACTTTCTTTCCATTTGCATCCACATTCTTAAAGCATGGTTGTATGCGCCATTCACAGGTTATCACCCAGCTATTCACAGAAGCTGGGGCCAGCGTCAAATCCTCTGTGAGGAGTCCTTCCAAGAGTGGTGAAGGAGAAGTTTTGTAGGTATGATCCGAGCTAGAGTATCTGCCGAGACATCCAGTTTCTCTGTCACAAGAGCAGTGGTTCTCAACCTTCCTAATGCTGTGACCCTTAGATACAGTTCCTCATGTTGTGGTGACCCCCAAGCATAAAATTATTTTCGTTGCTACTTCGTAACTGTAATTTTGCTACAGTTAAGAATTGAGCGACCCCTGTGAAAGGGTCATTTAACCCCCAAAGGGGTCGTGACCCACAGGTTGAGAACCCCTGCACTATTGTATGATGTCACTAGATTAGTGAGTGTGGGGGGAGCCCTGGTGCTGTAGTGGTCACAAGTTAGACTGTGATCTGAAAGGTCAGCAGTTCAAAACCAACAGCTCTGCACGAGGGAGATTGAGTTTTCTTCTCCAATAAAGAGTCACAATCTTGGAAACTCACGGGAGCATGTCTAACCTGCTCCTATGTGTCGCCATGACAGTGAGTGAGAGAGAGAGAGAGCATGATGCTCTAAGTTAGAAAGAGATAAGGGATCCTTACAAGGTTAGGGTAGACAAGCTGACCTTAAACGATACGCCCTGGGCTATAGCAGTAGCAGCCAGGTCCTGGAATGGGTATAGTTACAGAGTGTCTTGGAGAGACAGGAAGTGAAAACCATTTTTTCTTCCAAGATGTAGCTAACTGCTTGGGGATGTGGGTATGTGCAGAGGTCTGTGTTTTCAGCTACTGAGGGCACAACATAGACAAACAGTACTTGGCATTACAAGGTGTGCTGGAAACAACTCCCAGGCTGGAAGCTATCGGTATCTCCTCTGTAGATCAGGTGTTATTTATTTGGAGGGAGATAAACAAAGTGCTTTGGCTTCTAGATCAGCTGGTTAATTGGGTTTATCAATAAGTGGGGAGGGGGACTTGTTTTCCTTCTTGGTGATTGGCGAAAGGCTTATGGTCCCTCAGGTAACGTGGAATGATTCATGGTTAGTTATCATTAAGCATAGGGGCTTTGGTGGTGTAGTGGGCTATGCACTAGGCTGCTAACTGCAGTCAGGTGTTCGAAACCACCAGCCTCTCCTCGGGAGGAAGATGAGGCTTTCTACTCCCATCGAGAGGTCCAGTCTCAAAAACCCACAGGGCATTTTTGCCCTGCCCTACAGGGTCAGAATCAACTTGATGACAGTAGTTTGAGTTTGGGTTCATTCAACATAGCTTTTGACTCTACTTGGGAATTTTTTATGTGACAGTAGAAATGAAAAGTAGAAACTTAGGGTGAGAAGTGGAAGGTCACTCTATGGACGTAAATAAGTAAAATAAAAGAGGCCAGTGGTGCGGTTTTTTTGGGATGGTTGTTGGAAAGAGATGAAATTATTTTCAAGGACAATGCTGGAAAATGGTAAGCCCTCAACAACCAAGTTTACTGTCCAGGAAATTTACTCGAGCCTTTGGGCAGAGATCCTCTGCCAACTGGAAAACTTGAGGGAGATAAAGTATTTACATGTTTTAATAACATAAAACATGTCCAAAAGAAATATATAATTACAGCTACATTTGGCACTGAAAACAGTCCATGTATTATATTTTCTAAACTGAGTGTGAATATATAAGCCTATGTCCTTGAGTCAAATATGTTTGGATGATACGCTTTCGTGAGAGAATGGAAGAGTGGAAGGCATTTGGAGGTAAAAGAGAGCGAAAACTTAAAGAATACTAGTGAAGAACAGAGAACTTAAATCCCCTCCCTTTCTCAAGGAAGTATTGCAGCTCCCCTCTTTTTTTTTTTTTTTTGGCAGTTTAAAACCTTTATTAGATAACCAGCCACTAGTTTTCATCCACGTTGACTGCATGTAGGTTTTGAAAGTGGTGACAGGAACGTAGGTAACCAATGTGTAGAGCTTGTTTGGGGGATCTTCATCCTCATTAAGTTTCCGGGGACAACCGCACACAGATACGGTATGGAACATTCCTGATTCCTTTGGCCCACACAGCTTTGTTGAGCCTGGTGCCGATTCGTACATCGAGTGTCCCCATCTCCTTCATGGCAAACTTACGCCCACGCCATGGACGGCTTGTGAATGTTGATGGTGTACTCTCAGGTCACCACCTCGCTGATGGCCGAATGGCCCGGCTTCTTCTCACTGCCCTGCCGGGACCAGGCTGGAAAGGAAGTGCTCCGCTCTTTTTTATAACCTTAGGATTATAAGCATTTAACTTCCCAAAGGGCTTTAGTAATTTGCATGTTGTTATTAAAGATCCATAGGTAAGTGAAAATAAGACTCCTAAGTAGAAGGCCTGGCTGTCTTGCTCCTGAAGCTGTAGCCTTTCCATCCTTATTTCAAATTTGCAAAGACCCTTGGGAGAATTCAGAAATTCTGAATTTGATGAGGGTGAGCATTTTCCGAGTCATTTTAACACATGCCTCCTAATATCTGGTGATGGCCAAAGGTTTGGGGGTGAGGCTGGTAGCTGGAAATTGGATGTGGTGTTGGCTCCTAAAGTTGTCTCTATGACCTCCAAGATGTGTTGTTGCCCTCCAAGCCCTACCTCCTTAGGCTGCTTCCTTTGTGAAGCCTTCCTGCCCCACCCAGGAAAAAGTGGTGCCATCCCAGCCTAGCCCTTGGTTCCCATCAATAGTACTCGCTCTTTCCTTTGTTAGAGCACTTTCACACTGTGTCAGAGTTTACATTTCTGCCCCCCTGCCTCATTGTTATCCACTTGAGTGCCAGGATTGTGTGTTATCCTAGCACTTGGCACACAGGAAGGACTCAGTGAACATTTGTTGACTAAATCTAGACTCAAGGTCATCCAAAATGTTATACAAAAAACCTTTTCCCTTGGAACTGTTTGCATTGTGGGGAACTGAAACAAATGTCATCCTGCTTGTTGAGAGAATCCCAGGGAGAAGTCTGTTGGATCATTGCAGATGGATGCCCAAGCTGGTTGACTGAGCCCCTCCCACCCCCAAATCATTCACAGATTGTGTGTGTGTGTGTGTGTGTGTGTTGGGGCTGGGGTGTGTTGATGATGAAGGTGGACTTTTGATGATAGGTAGTTTCAGCTATATTTAATTTGGCCAGTAGTTTAAAGGTAATTTTTATTTTGGAAAACTCTTCTTCTTACCAGTTGTTCCCCAAAGTGTCATCTTTCACCAACTCTTCATCAGCTTGTACGATTCTCCCTGTGGGTGGCCGCTCTGTAACCTACTCCTTACCACCAGGGGTTGTGCTGAACTGTATTGAGATACTGCGGTGATCAAAACAGTAACTGATAAACGACTGAATTATTTTGGACACTCACTTCAGATAACAATGCACACCTCTGTGTTCTTATCCGATCCAGGGTTGTGTCTCAAACATGCATGCTGTGTGACTCATCAGGAAGGAGTTTAATTTAACAAACATTTTTCAGATGTCCAGTCAGTGCTGTGCACAGCGAATGACTAAACCTGTGGTATTTACAACTTCAGGTGAGCTCCACATGTCTGAAGAATTGCAGCTGTTCTGCTTTGGGGAAGGAAACCCTAAGTTAACAACGTGAAGGTAGCAGCGTGCGATTGAAAGATAAAGGTGCCTCATGATGGTCTGAATAGGAGGATTGTAGGAATGCAACATGAGGGGTTCAGGAAAGCAAAATCCTATTTGGATTGACTCCAGATTCTATGACTTCAGCAACTAAGGAATTTTTGATCACAAGTGGCTAGATTCCTAACTTGTTACTTTCCGAAAACATTAGACATGCATTGTTTTTTTCCTAAAAATCTCAAAGTGATTTCAAATTAAGATGGAGTAAGACATTAGACGCTGATGGGTGCAGCAGAAAATGGCAATCTTTGGGTGATACATTTATCCCTGAGCTTTTCAACTGCTAAAGAAGATGGTTTTGCTAAGACACTTAAATACAAGAGGATTCTTCGTATAAGCTCACAATCCCTACCACCTTTTTCTCCCTGGGCCCAGGGAGTCTGGGTTCTGAGGGCAGGCCCCACCCATGTTGGTGTCTCTGCGATAGCATGCCCCATCACCTTTCCCACGTTTGAAATGCCGGTCTCAGACCCGGTGGCAGCTGTTGATCATGTGAGTGTCAGGCTTGGGGGCTCTCCCACTAGTTCGGTTTAGAGTGGTTTCTTGATGACCCCTGGTCATAAAAGGTGTGGGCGGGAGGAGGACCAGCAGCTGGAACTGATGCCCGTAACTGAAGGGCTGGATACCTCACTGACAATAAAAGGCGAGGCTCCTAAGCAAGGTAACTTTCTGAGTACCCAGTGGTGATTTTCTTTGAACTTCCCTGTGGCTTCCTGACTCTTGGAAATGTGAAAACCAGTGCCTTGACCTCATATGTGAATGCATTTTCCCATGAGCCTTGCCTTCTCTGAACTAGTCAGCTGAAAGAATTTTTGACTTGATAGCAAAGAATCAGAACCCGCGATTCCTCAGTTTGTTTTGAGTGGTTGGGCAACGGCTCTGAGCTGCTCTCGCTGCTGCAAGAGCACATTTTTCTCTCAGACTTTAATAAAATAAATGAATGGAGGCGAGGACTGGGAAACATACTTGGAGGGAGTGGCCCCATCACAGTGGAAGCCAAGGTAAACAGTCTTTGTAACTGAAAAATATACTTCCTGGAAGGAGAGAATTTGCTGAAGTGTGTGTGAAGTGTAACCAGCAAGTACCATTTTCACCTCTACAGATAACTGGGTTGCCCTGAACCCCTAGTTGGTGGAAATCGGTGTCTTGTGCACTTTTGACTGTCCTGTCATGACAGCTGAACTCGGAGAGGGCACTTGGGGGATAAAAAGTCATGTTTATGGTAGAGAAGCAAGCAGATAATGGGGGCTTTTGGATCGTTATTTGGAGAACCCACTTATTTAGACTTCTGTAAACTGCGTATCGCAGTGATATGTGTGCAGAAGTGGGGAGATGAAGTGGGCAGTGACCTAAAGACAGACAGACAGCCTTGCAGATGAGCTGGTAGACTGACGGAACGGCAGTGGGAAGGCAGCTCTCTGAGTTTGAAGGTGATTTCGAGTTAATGGACATATGGACACTTTCTTTCTGCCTGTTTTTCATGACGGTTGAAAAATGTGTCATTACAGTGGACAGCCGTGCACACACCACATAATGTGAGCACTTAGCCATTGATATTCAGCATGCCCTAGTGTAAGGAAATTTCATCACAGGGTCAAGGTTTTGACCTAATGATCTCTTTATGTTCATTCTTCTGTGATAATGGTAGTTTTCTTCTAATTGGTAGCTGCTGGGGACTGTTGATTCAACTAGCAAAAGTTTCTCTCACATACTCACACTCTCTCTCTCTCTCTCTCTCTCTCTCTCTCTCTCTCCCCCCGGTCATTAATTGATTTCTATAAATATGATTGTCCCCTCAGCAACTAAAATAGTAAGACAGTAAGGTCTCTATCAGGCTTGTAGTTGCTCATGTTTGGCCCAGGTCTGGTGTCCAGAAAGTCACCAAGAAATGGTGGCAGCAGAAATCCTTTGGAAGGCTTGACATTTCAGAGCTTCACTTGGAACTTGGGTGCCTGTGGGAGAGGGCCTGGCTTTGTGGGGAGACTGCTGGACCCTCGGGAAGGTGTCTTCATCTTTCTTCTCTGCCCTTTTATTTTCTGACCGTCTTTTTTCTCAAGGAACGTTATGTCGGAGAGAGCCAACTATTGATTAGGCATACTTTCTTCGTTTGAAAGATTATGATAAAGGCAACATGACTTTGGACAGTTTGGGAAAATAGAGGAGAGAAATCATTAGACAACGTGTCCTTGTTCTAACCCAAGAAACAGCGTTTTGTTTGTATATCCCTGTGTGTAAGAAGAGATAAAGTAATTCCAGTGGAATCTTGTGGAAGACCATTTTGGTCATCTTGATAGCATTTATTTTCCTTGGTGTCTCAGTTCTCTAGATGAGGATCACAACCTTGCCCTGATAACTCATCTTCTCACCTGTGCCAGGGCTCCCTGTGCCTCTTGATTGTTGAGTCTGCCATCCTTGTTACCAGCAGGACTGGGTTGCCTCTAAAAACACCTGTAGCCTTAGTTGTAGGCTTTATGCAAATAACCAGTTTATCGGTAGAGACATCTCACTGTTGCTCTTTTAGGAGTGTATTATTGGATAGTAAATATGTATCTAGTATGAAAAATGAACATAATTAACCAAATCCTAAATGGGTCTCCTTATTAAGGTGAATGTTCAACCTTTGTGATTTGCATACGTGTTGTATATTGCTGCTGCTTGCTACCAAGGATTTTCTCTGAGGATGTAAGGTATTTTTCCAGCATCACGATTGTCTAAATGAAAACCTCAAATCCAGAAGGTTGTACAAGGCACATTATAAAATGAAGTAATTAGAGGCTCATCTAGAAAGCAGGGTTTTTTCCCTTTGAAAAAAATGCATCTATTAGTATTATTTGTGTTGTATTAAAAGTAGTTCTTATGACTCAGAGACTGGGCCCGTATTCAAAAGTTATACAAGGTGACCTCAAAAAATTTGTGGAAAATGGAATTAAAAGATAATGACATGTTTTTCCATGAACTCGTTAAAGCCCCCAAGTATATGGCATTTGTTCTTAAATTCAGATTTACATCTGTTGTCTTTTATATTACAAAAATTTTCACTTGAAACCACTTGAACAAACAAAGTCAAATCACTGTGCCTCAGATAATATTTTATATAAATCCTAAGTTCTTTCTGGATTATTCAAAGGAAGGTAGAAATGCCGATCTCCTTTTTTCTAGTTCTTAACTAGTTCTGAACTGCAATTCACATGCCAGCTAACTGGAGTCAAGGCAGCACTGCACACTGACTTGGCTGGTGGTTTTGTTGTCTGAAGAAAGCGCACGTTTGGTCTGTAAGCCACAGCTCTGGCGCACAGTGTGGACATGTGCACAACTAGAATTTGACGAGCACGTGTGGCTCTGTGTATTGACGGCACATAAAGGGGCGTGCAGCATTCTGCTGAAATGTTCTTTGCAGGTGAAATCAGCTGAGTGAACCATGTAGCCCTGGCTCTTTGTGGTGTTTGAGTGACCCTGTGGAAGCCTAACCTTACCTGAGCACAGGTGTGAGTCTTTTAAAAAAGGTAATAAAGCAAAGTGTTGTTGAGCTGTGTTTATAAGCAAGTGTTTGTCTTCCTCCCGCCCCACTGTTTGTACTATAAATGTGTCTCCATGGTGAAGAGGTGTGGGAAAGCATCTACACAAGGGAGGCAGCCAAGGGCCTGGGACTTTCATTGGTCCATTGTATGACCTACGTGTTTGTAACCAGTTTATACAATTTTATTTAAAAATGGAAATCAGCCGTGTCTCTGTAATCCTATAGGTCAGTCTTTCATCCGTTCATCTTTATTGGTACATGGTGCACATTAGAGCCGGCCGGGAAGGAGAGGGTAGGTGAGGTATTCGGGCGGATGTTGAAATGGAAGGTGAGAGTGGGTGCACTATTGCTGGGCAGTGTTCCCTTGCTAACAGAGCCCTGGAGCTCAGCCAGCGTGGATGAGGGAGGAGGAGGAAGGGTTTGGTGTAGAGAGCCCTTGGTTTATTTCTGGCTGTTGGGATGCAAGGCTGTGGAAGAAGGCATAAATATAGTTTGAGGGAGGTCGCAGGCACAAAGATTCCTGCCGGGGTAAATACTGGATGGACTTGTTTACAGCCACTTCACACTTCATGTGTCTGAGTGGGTAGGTGGGTGCTTCCAAAGGCTGAAGCGCCTGTCCTTCCAGGATCCCCTTCAGTGGCCATCTCGGCACTCGGGCTCTTCGCAAGTGACTCCACCTTGCTGCCTAGATTTGAATTCAAATAACTACCCGTGAGACCTGTTTCTTTTAAAAATAAAATGAACTGCAGACCCCAAGCTTCTTGGGAGAAGGCAATTATGCAAACACTAGAAGCATATCCCCTTTGTGGGATGGGGGGTGATAAGGCATTTGGGACTTTGTGGCTCAGCGTGACTGTCCTTCAGTGTCTGCAGGGCACAAAGCCAGGCCAAGCTGCAGTGCCCTGTTCCTCATCCCTCTACAATTTGTCCCTCGCTGGTGTCACCTCTGCAGGTTCTGAATCCTTTCTTAATCCACTGCCAAGGGTGCAGGGAGCCAGATTCTGTGTACTATCAGGCATCAGGCCCCCCTCCTCACTGGTCCCTTACCTGCTGGCCCCATGGCAGTGGCCCCCTTCTCATATCTGGCCTTGCTCCCTTCTCCATGCCCAGTGGTCCGCAGGTTGTGCATCACAGGAGCCTTTGGAATGCCACCTGCCAGTGTGTAGGGGACACACACACACACACACACACACACACACACACACACACTTCCATTTGCCAGGGAGTGCCAGGGCTGCAATTTAAGAAAACATGCCCCATGGAAATGCTTTCCCCAGGACAAATTTAGGTGATTAATTTCAAAGAAGAAGCCTCATTTTATTCATGAGAGCCAGAGTCCTGTGCTAGGGAAAGTTCAGACTCTGAAGTAGACAGTCCAGCCGAGGCATCTGTTGGGGGGAGAGGGGTGACCTTGGCCAAGCTGCTTGACCTCTGTGTCTCAGTGACCATCTACTCTTGGGTTGTTAAAGCAGGATTAAGCCCGTTAAACTCATTAGCATGAAGAACTGGACTAGTCCATGACAGGCGCATAGCAGCCAGACTCAAACCCAACCTACTGTCCCCGAGGAGTCCATTCCAACTCACATCTGTGCGTTGAGGAGAACCGCCTTGGAGTGTTTGAGGCCGCAAATGTTGGACTCAGACTGACATCCTCCTCCCCTGGAGAGGCTCCTGGGTTTGAACTAGCAGCCTCATCTTTAGCCCATGGTGTCTCCAGAATCCCTGTGCATGGTAAGCCCTCTGCATGCCTCTGTAGCTCCTGTTGGACATACGGCTTCCCTGTAAGAGGTACTGATTAAGTGTTTTACTAAGTGTATATTTAAAAGGTGGTGAAACATTTTCTCACCTCTTGTCCTAAAGCAAAGGTAATATTTGGCTGGAAGAGGTAGGCATGGAGACATCTGCTCCCTAGGTGAGGGTGGAGAGGAAAATGTTACAAATTCTCTATCACTAACTGCACGCTTATCATTTGTTAATCAAACGCGTACACCCAGCCCTTCGGAGTCACTGGCTCCCAGGATAATTTTGAAAGGGTGGTGTATTTCTCATAAGCATTGTTTATGGCACCGTCATGGTTGATGAATATGTTTACTAGAGGGACTCTGCCCTTGATGAGTTTACTCCGCATTCTAACTTACCTTTGCCTTTCAGGTGAGAGACAGAGAAAGGTGATCTTTAATTGCACATCCCGGCCCTCTCAGAGCCTAGCAAAGGGCCATGCAATAGCAGTTGCTCAGTAAATCCGTGTGAAACTAATGAGTAATTGATAGTACAATTATCCTCACATTAAACTGTGAGGAGCTTGGGAGCTGGCTTTGTCCATGATTTTCCCCCAGGCACACCACACTGAAAAATGGGATGTGTTTCTCTCATTTCTGGCTTATTCCCGGGTTATAGAATGTGAGGGTCGTGCAGAGTTACAAATGCATCCCCACACTAGGGAAAACAGATGGTCTCCAACTGGCCCAGATAAGCTGGTGGGGA